CATTTAAACAACCAAAGGGCACATTCTGCAAGACTGCCTCCTGGCCGCCAGCAGTCTTTTTCTTTCCAAGAAGTCTAAAATCCTCAGCTGCTCTATCTCTCCATGTCCTCATCTCTGCTTCCATCTCTTCCTATTTATTCTTTTTTTTTTACTATTTCCCTCACCCAGAAAATGAGCTGTATGTAGTTAATACTATAACTAAAATCTATCATCTTCTAATTTGTTATAAAGTTGCTTGAGATCGTACATCATAATCCCAAAGAAGTGAGTCTGGCAAGATGCAGATTCTTTGTAAAGGGAGTTTTGTTTTTTCAGAATTTTGTGTTCTATGTCTTTTTTTTTTTTTTTCAATTTTTATTGTGAGGTTTACATGGGAGAACATCAGTTTTACATTTATCCTATCGTGTTTTGTTTTGTTGCAATGATTACAATCCCCTCCATGCATCATCAAATAACCAAAGGGCACAACCCACAGGCCCGCCCCCTGGCCGTCAGCACACAACCCCTCTCCCTCCCTGAGTCCAGTATCCCCAGCCGCTCTATCTGTCCACATCATCTCTGTCTCCATCTATGGCATCACTGCCTCTCTGGGTAGGGTCCCGCTCTCCGCCCTTCTCACTTGATAGTCCCTCTTCCTATTTATTCTTGGGTAGTGCCTCTGGGTCCTAATTTTAGCACCACAGTCAAGTGAACTGCCCTATTAACTCAGGTTCTTGACTCCTGTTGCCTGTGTCTCTAGGAAAATAATCTTTAAACATTCTTCTCAGTACTTAAAAATAAAAAAACAGTAGTTGTAGTCACAATAAGACTTTACATCATATACAGGATTTTAACAATACATGTGTAACCACTAAAGATAATTACTTTCAAAGTCAATAATTAATTTTAGACTTCAAGAAAACCAAAAACAAAACCTCACTTCTTGTTCATATGAGTCCTGGGGATATGAGGTATAAAATTTTATACAGATTCTGAGTTCCTTTGTCCAAAATACAAAATAGTTCAGGAATGGATTTGGACTCAGAATTAAAGCTTTCTCTAATGTGATCATTGTGGCATGGTAAAGGATATCGAGATTTTTTAATTTGGAGCCAGACTTGTCTGATTTTTAGTTTTAAAAAGATCAATTTAAAAAATCTCATATTTCGCTGTTTTAAATTCAGTGCCTTGTCACTAAAAGATGACTTTAGGATACAGTGTTAGTGAATATATGCTATATTTAAGTTATGTATTAATTTTTTATATGCTTAACTTGGAGTCCTGGTGTGGCACTGTGGGCTAATGATTCAGACTGCAAAGTCGTTTAAACTGCAAGGTCAGTGGTTCAAGCTCACCAGCTGCTTCTTGAAAACCCTATATAGGGTCGCTGTGGGTCAGAATTGACTTGACAGCACACAACAACAACTTTGCGTTAGATATTCTTGAGGGATTTGGGGAGAATCATTTGAATTAAGAGTATTATAAAGGCCTTGATCTTATTGGGGAAAGGAAATTTTTCTGGAAGAAAATGTTTATTTAATACAAGAAAACCAGATGAATTATGTTCCTCGAGTTCCCAGATTTGGGGTTTTTGAATGCAGTTTTTAGAAGACAGGGAAGGGAGAAGGCTGCTTGTTTAAAACCTCAGGTTTTCAGCTGTTACCATTGTCTGAAACTCAGAGCCAGGTGTCTAACACTAGCATGGGCGTTGGCAACAGCCACCGCATCAGTTATTACTGACCAAGACCTAGAAAAGGCCTTTGGTCATTCTTAAGAGTCTGAATAGCAATTATGATTGTTAGAGTTTGAGGATCTGCATTTCATACAAACAGCTCAGGATTATTATCAGGATCCTGAGTTACAGTTCTTTATTTATCTCTGACCAGATCGGTGATCTGGGCCATTTCCTAATCCATTCATTAATAAACAAATTGTTTTGTTTTGTTTTCTCTAAAACTAACAGGAACTTTTCAGCTACAGCATGTTTGACATTACCTCCAATTCAGTGCAGCCCCCACGGTTACAGTCATATGAGAAACTTAAGAGTCTACAAAGCTCGTTAGATAGTTGCTGGAAATAATGTTGGATAAATAGAATTTGCCCACCTTATAAAAAATCCTTAGAAGCTGAGTAAAAATGTTGGACTTCAAGTATCAATGCTATCCCCTCTGTGTGCAGGGTAAATAGGGATGGGCAACTTAGAGATTGGCTACCTAGAATGAGGGGGCGATAAAGGCACAAAGTGACTGGCTTACAAGGTTCCAAGAGGGAGTTTAGCTTAAGAGTGTGTAGGGAAAGAAAGAGTCCCCACTGAATAGTTTTCATTTTGTCTAAGATGGGTCTGCTTAAAAGAGATGGGGTTAAGATTCTTATGATTCCCAGTAGTGAGTAATTGTTATCATGACTAATTACGACTGTCACAATTGTAAAGGTAGAAGTTTTATAACAAAAATGGGGGAGTAGTTAATCTTACAGTCTAGAAACAAAGGACCCTAGGACCATCAAGAGCAAGGCACAAGCAGAATGCAGAACTTTATCCAGAGAAGCAGCGACACCAGAGATGGAGGCAGAGATAGGGATATGGAGAGTGGGAGCGGCTGAGGACTCGAGATTCATGGGAAGAGAGGGACTAAGAGATAGTGACCATGAGGCAGCCTCACAGAATGTGCCCTTTGGTGGTAGAAATTATTATGTATGCCTGAGTGTTTTTTAAAAAAGCTAAAGTGAATAGAGAGAAATTCTGTTAACTGATGGTACATGGAGGGGATTGTAATCATTGTGATAAAACGAAGTGTATGATTTGTTGAATGTTAAACTGATTATCTGCCCTGTAAACATTCACTCAATCCACAAAATAAACTTAAGAAACTTAAAAAAAAATTTTTAAAGAGAGGAAAAAAATGATAAAAAAAAGGTATTTGAGAAAGAGTAGTTTGCATTATTTGGATGATGGCAGCTAATATTGGAGAATGATGGAAAGCTTGGAGAGTAATAAATGATTGATTTGATAAATGAATAACTTTCTGTTATAGGGAGAGGTTAAAGGGCAATACTTAGAATACAGTACATATAGATTACTGCATGTTGAAACAGAATCTCTTGTGACATAATTTAAATGCTGTTTTTAAATGTAAAATTTGGAGAATAATGAAGAGAAAACCTTGCTTGTGAATATAATGTAAAATTCAGGGTAGTAGTTGTAGATGTAATTAATCATCAACTACAATACTTACAAAGACAACAAATGTTGTATAAGTGTTATTTTAATCATCTTGAATTTTTCATATAGTGGTCTCCTATTATTTTCCATGACATGGTCACATAAAGAATGATAATATTTGACGATGTTTGTATAGTACACTGAGGTGAAGGGTGGGGCCTCTGGGGCATCCCTTACTTAAGGCCACAGAGCTGAGCAAGATCTATTCTCAGCATACTTGAAACAGGTAGGTCATACCATCAGGGAAACTCTGTTCTAAGGAACAAGCAAAGGCAGAGAATAAACACTCTGCCACTAATCAAGGAAGGTGGCCAGCACAGTTTGAGCAATAAAAGGAAGTGTCTTTAGACCTGGCCTTCTCCTCCGTGTATGACATCGTAGAGACCAGGCTCTTTGTTTCTTTATCATCTCATGAAAACCACTGTGTTCTTCAATGAGTTCCACATTATTCTTTCTTTACGTATTTTAATTCAAAGACCACTGTCTATAAAACTTTTCTAAAATCGTTACTCTTTTTAATCTCTTGTCCTGACAGAATGATCATGGTCTTTTTAGAGGGTTTTGGCACCTGGTTTGTTCTTCCCTTCCATGGTTTTCACATCCACATTGACCACTTAACTCCCTAACATCATGATTCATTTTCATTCTTACTCTGTAAAAAAATATTTTCTGTATTTGGTTAACATATTTAAAACAAAATTTCACTCTCAGTTGGTGAATACATTTGTTATTTTACAAAGTAAAATATAAAGTATTCTTAAAATACAGTAGCATAAATTCATAAGTCTGAAAGCAAATAAAAAATCTTTAAGACCAGATTAAATGTTAACTTTACCAACCTTGTCTTTGTAGGTGGAAAAACTGGTGGATTCGTGGAATTCTTACTCTAACTATGATTTCATTGTTTTTCCTGATCATCTACATGGGCTCCTTTATGCTGATGCTTCTTGTAAGTCTATTTACAGTTTTCTTTTGTTTTTTTAAGCATCTCTTGCTTTGTTTTCAAGCACTTATATATGGTTGAAGTAATTTGAGTGTGTTATAAAAAAAAGAAGGTAATTCAAGACTTGGTAGTGGTAGAACAAATTTAGTTCCATTAAGTGTTTCTAGTTCATGAAATGATGTTTAGTAATGTTTTTCAGTGGCAGAATAGCTATTCAAATAGTCCATTAAGCAAATACCTAATAAATATAATATACAAAGTAGATCGTGTACTAAGCATCAGACATTGTACCAAGCATTAGATAAGCACACACATACAGTTTCAACACACATGACTATTATTAGCTATTTTTCTGACCTCAAGGAATTCAGTCTAGTTAAGGAAACACACAAGTAACCTCATGAATAAATACTATATGACTAGAAAGATGAGTCGTTCTGCTCCCGTAAAGATTTGCAGCCTTGGAAACCCTGTGCAGGGTCACTATGAGTCAGAACCGACTCCACAGTACTTAACAACAACAATAACAAGTGGGAGTGAGCCCTGTAATAGGACTAGTTAGGAGAATACAGTTTTAAAAGCACATGATCCAATCTGGAGGAGTGGCCAGAAATGAACAATGCACTGAGAGGGCAAAGGAGTACATGTGAACAATTGTTGTTGTTGTTAAGTGCCATCGAGTCGGTTCCGACCCATAGCGACCCTGTACAGGGTTTCCGAGGGTGTAAATCCTTACGGGAGTAGAAAGCCTCATCTTTCTCCCGCGGAGCGGCTGGTAGTTTCGAACCGCTGACCTTTAGGTTCGCAGCCCGATTCGTAACCACTACGCTACCAGAGCTCCTTACATGTGAACAATAGGAGCTTGAATTAGTGAGGTTGAGAAATCTCTCAATACAAGTAGGCTAGAAGAACAATCAGAAAAAAGAATGGAAAAATCTGAAGAAAGCCTAAGAGTTATGTGAGCTACTATCACAGGTAATTGGAATTCCAAAACAGGAAGAGACAAGTACAGAGAAAATTGTCAAAGAGTTTGTTGTAAGAAAACTTCCCTAACGTCATGAAAGAAGAGAAGATAAGCATATAAGAAGCTCAGTGAACCCCAAACAGGATAGATGCCTAAAGAAAATCACCTAGACATATCATAATCAGACTTTCCAAAATCAAAGACAAGCAAAGAATCTGAGAACAGCTCTGGTAAAACAAAAAGTTACCTACAAAGGAGAACCAGTAAGACTAAGCTAAGATTCTCAACAGAAACCATTCATTCAGGAAGACAGTGGAATAACATATACAAAACCTGAAAGAAAAAGTTTGCTCACCAAGAATCATATACAAAGTAAAGCTATTCCTCAAATATGATGATGAAATTAGGACATTTCCTGATAAACAGAAATTAAAGGAATTTGTAACGACCAGACCAATTTTGCAAAAATTGCTAAAGGGTGTTCTTTGGACTGAGAACCAACTATAGCAAACAGCAACCTAAGATTACCATACATGACAATACCACCTAGAACTCAATCCAGATATTGGAAGTATTTAAAGTATATAAAACAAGTATACAAGATTGAAAAAAGGGAACCAGAAATATTAATGTATAATGAAGTCAACTACAAAACAAAAAAAGGGAATGGTGTAGATACAGAACTTCTAAATAACAAGGAAGTCAAGTAGATTTCAAGATAAAACAGACTGTTTTAAAAAACAGGGGGGAAAATGGATAAATTATAGGGTAACCTCAAAGAAAAACAATATGTCTCCACATCAGAATTTTAAAAAGAGGAAAATCAGAAATATTTCATAAACAATCACACAACAGAAATGAAAATAAAAAGAAAACCCACAAACAAAATGAAATCAGCATATAAAATTATGTAGAACTAAGAACCCAGCAGTACCACACACACACAAAACCCAGAAAAATGACAACAATTAATTCATATCTATTGACAATTATACTGAATGTAAATAGACTAGATGTACCAGCCAAGGGACATAAAGGGCAGAATGAATATGAAAACAGGATCCTTCCATATGTTGTCTGCAAGAGACATATCCAAAAGGTGGAGACAGCTTAAATGCCTATCAACAGAAGAATGGTTAAACAAACTGGTACATACACACAATGGAATACTATAAAATGTGGAAGAATAATGATGAATCTGTGAAACACCTCACAACACAATTGAACCTGGAGGACATTATGCTGAGTGAAATTTGTTGTTGTTGTGAAGTGCCATTGAGTCTTTTCCAACCTATAGTGACCTGTATAGGGTTTCCGAGGAGTGACTAGTGAGCTTGAACCGCTGACCTTATGGTTCAATGCGACTTTGCAGTCTGGCACATTAACCCACAGTGTCACACCAGGACTCCTGGGTGAAATTAGTCAGTCACAAAAGGACAAATATTATATGAGACCAATCTTGTAAAAGTTTTATAAAAGGTTTCCTTGATAAAAGAAACAGTCTGTGATGGTTAAGGGAGTGGGGAAAGGAAAAATTATTCACGGACTAAAGTGTAGACAAATGTTAGCAAGGGTGACAGGGCAGGCAATATACAACAAGAGAGAGGTTAGCAGAGGAAAGATGCAGGTAGTGGGAGACACAGGGAGAAATGTTAGAGTTAAAGTGAATAGAGGTAAATGCTGTTAACTGTTGGTACTAGGAGGGGATTGCAACCATGTAATGAAGCAAAGTGTATGAATTGTTGAATGTAAAACTGATGATCTGCTCTGTAAACCGTCACTCAATTCACAATAAAAATTAAAAGAAAGAAATATTTCTACACTAGTTCTGATGTGGTGGTACGGAGAAAGACATACCTGCTCCTGCCCTCATGGAATTTGCTGTCTATAGACTAAAGAATTGATTTATAATTATAAACTACAATATGCATTTGAAAAAATAACAGGAAGCCAGTTGTTCTGTGGGAGAAAGATGAGGTTTTCTGCTCCCATAAAGATTTACAGCCTTGGAAACACTGTGCAGAGTCACTATGAGTCAGAACCAACTCCACATCACATAACAACAACAATGAGAGCATAGGGAGAGTCAAGAGACTTTCCAGAGGTGTTCTATACCAGGCATATGAGTAGTGATCAGATGGTGGAGTCAGTAAGATGATTGGGTGACGATAGGGGCAGGATTCACAGGCAGGGGATTCCAGTTTACAAAGGCCCTGGTGGCCAAAGAAGCAGAAAACATTTGAAGTTCAGAGTGATGGGAATGAGAAGGAAAAATGTATATGTTCAACAAATTTATCACTTACTGTGTGTTGAGCAGGGAGTCCTGGGGCAGCACTGTAGCACTGGACCATAAGGTCAACAGATTCAGTGGTTCATACCCACTGGTTGCTCCTTGGAAACTTTATACAGGGTCTGTATAAGTTGGAACCAACTCAACAACACTTAGCAACAACTGTGTTAAGCATAGGTTTTGCAGCGAGGAGTTTGAACCTACTCTCAGGGATATACACAATTGTGTTAAGGCAGTTCTGGCTCATAATGACCCTGTATAGAGTTTCTGAGGAGTAACCAATGAGTTTGAATTGCACTGACCTTGTGGTTAGTAGTTCAGTGTTTATCTTATTATTTTAAGTACTACTTCTTTAAAAATATATGTATACCTACGATTATGGATGTAGTAACTCAAAATACCAACTGAGAGGGAAGGAGTCTTCGCATCAAGTATTAATGTATATGTATATCTTTTTAACTTCTCATTTTTAAATTGTGTATGTAACAGTGTTTACTTTTGTTGCCTTTAACTCTTGTGTTTCTTCCATTGTCACACTTGGCCTTGATCATGTTGTGCTGACTTCCTCCTTATTGTGTATTGCCTTTCCTTCACCCAAGTTAACATGTGTTTCCCCTCTAGTTTAATATTGTGTAGTATTTCATTATGTGTATGTATCATAGTTTATCCATTGTTAGGCACTTAGGTTGTTTCTATCTTTATGCTATTGTGAGAAGTGCTGTGGTGAACATGAGTGTGACTGCTAACCACAGAGTCAGTGGTTCAAATCCAGCAGCTGTGCCTTGGAAACCCTATACAGGGTGGCTATGAGTTGAAACTGACTTGATGTCACTAATAACAACAACAACAGCGGTATGCTTGGCAGTGGACTAGCTGGATTTATATTTCCAGTTTTTTAAGTGCTTATACCATTTTATAGCCCCACCAGCAGTGTATGAGGGTGTAAGTCTCTCTATGTCCTCACCAGCATTTGTTGTTTTCTGTGACTTTGAACTTTGCTACTAATGCTTGGGTGAGGTGTGTTGTTTTGGTCTACATTTCCCTAATGATTTGCATTCCACTTATCTGTCACTTTACCATATTGTGGTGGCTTGCATGTTGCTGTGATGCTGGAAGCTATGCCACTGGTATTTTCAATACCAGCAGGGTCACCCATGATGGAGCTTCCTGACTAAAAAAGGACTAAGGAGAAGGGAAGACAGACTACTTCTGAATATCTAGCCACTAAAAACTTTATGAATAGCAGCAGAACTTTGTCAGACATAGTACCAGAAAAATAAAATATTATGGTTATCAGTAGAATATTATCAGATGTAGTGCTGAAAGGTGAGCCCCTCAGGCTCGAAAGTACTCAAAATATGGCTGAAAAAGAACTACCTCCTCAAAGTAGAGTTGACCATAATGACATGAATGGAGTAAAGCTTTTGGGACCTTCATTTGTTGATGGGGCACAACTCAAAATGAGGAAAAACAGTTGTACACATCCATTAATAATCAGGACATGGAATGAAGATCAAATCTAGGAAAACTGGAAGTTGTCAAAAATGAAATGGAATGTATAAAGATCGATATATCCTAGACATGAGTGAGCTGAAGTGCATTGGTCTTGGTCATTTTGAACAGGTAATCATATAATTTACAATGTTGGGAATGACAGATTCAAGAGGAACGGTGTTACGCTCATCAAAAAGAACATTTCAAGATCTATCTTGACTTACAATGCTGCCTGTGATAATATCCATACACCTGTAA